GCGGTCCCTGAACCGGGGGGCGGGGCTCTCAACGCCGGGGGCCGCGGCCCCAATTCTCGCCTCTAGTCCAGCGGTCATGGGAGGGGACGGTATTCCGTGTGCTCTAATGGACCGAGGACTGGGGCTTCTGATCTGTAGCGGAGGAGGGATTCGAGACTCCTAATTCCAGGGAGCCTGCCCAACGTGGAGATACGAGGGGGCTTTTCTGAGGGGCATGCGGACCAGGGGTCCGGATACCCTACCCGTGGAGCAAAACTGGAAGCCCGGAACAGCAAAGCTATTAACTGGGGAGTGGACTGGCTCCAGAATCGGGGGAGCTGGGTCAGGGCCGTAACTCCTGGACCTAGGAAAGGCAGAGGGGTCAGACCCGCAGTCCAGGTTCCTGGGTCCCTCTGTGAGGGTGCTGCAGCCCTCCACCGGGGAGGAGAAGGCGATCGACTCTGGAGCATCGAGTGGGACGAGGGCTGAGCTTCCTATATTCCTGGGATCCCAGAGTCGTGGGTAACTCAGTGACAAGGGTTCACTAATTAATGCTCCCCAGATCCTTGGAGGGGAGAGGCTGGAGTTGAGAGGCCAGAAGGAACAAGAGGAAAGGTGTCCCCCTCTAGGCCAGCTGGGGTCTCCAAGGGCGGGCTGCGGGTCAGGGATTCCTGGGCACTGGGCACACATGCCCCTGCTCCGACCCCCGAGGCAGGACCAGCGAGCTCTCGGTCCCCGCCGCACATTCCCGCGCCACGTGAGTCCTCCCCTCCCTCCTCCGCGTTTCGCGCACGCGCCAGGGGGCGGGGCCTGAGGAACGTGAGGGCGCCCGTGGCTGTGGGGGAAGGGGGGGAAAAGCAGGCGGCGGCACGTGACTCGGCCTGAACCTGTGTCCTCAGCTGGCCCCAGCCTGCTCGCGCTTAAAGGCACAGGCGTCTCCTCTCAGCCCAACTTTGTCGAACCTCAGAGCCGCTTCCGCTTCTTTTCCCTAACCTTTGGAGCGAGTAGCTCTTAGTCTCTAACGTCTTTTCAATGAATGCAGTAGGGTTTTTTTGAGAGTTTTTTTTAGGGCTTCCCTCTGAACGCCTGGGCGGGAGGTGCGGTGGGCTAAATTTTGTTGCAGGATTCAGGCTAGAATATGGGCAAGACACTAACCCTGAATCTGAAGTCCTGAGGTTTTAGAAGCAGTAGCCCTGCCTGTGTTACTTAGGGTAAGTCACGTATGACAGGCCTCAGTTTCCCTGTTTGTGGAACCGGAGTAGGCTCCCTAATATCTAAGCATCTTTGTTGCTTAGGGACCCTTGGTGTTTTATGTTCGAGAGGTAGACCCCAGAAGGGGCTGTAGCAGGTATGACCCCAGAGCAAGGAGTGACTAATAAGGATCCCCTTCCCAAAATACACAGTCAAGTGCCACTTTCTGTCTCTCCCAGGCCTGACCTCTCGGGACACACCCAGTCCTGTGGACCCAGACACAGTGGAGGTGCTGATGACCTTTGAACCTGACCCAGCAGATCTTGCCCTGTCAAGCATTCCTGGCCATGAGACCTTTGACCCTCGGAGACATCGCTTCTCGGAGGAAGAACTGAAGCCCCAGCCAATCATGAAGAAGGCGAGGAAGATCCAGGTGCCAGAGGAGCAGAAGGTGAGCACCACAGGAGTGGGACCCAGGCACTCAGGCTCTCCTGGTATGCAGCCAAGGACTGGCCGTTGGCCACAGGGCATAAGAGGACAAGGTTGGGCCTGAGATTTATGCAGACATGTCACTGTGTGACGCAGACCCCACCAGTCCCGCTATGTCTGGCTGCATAGGCTTGGAGCTTTTCCTGTCACTTGGAACCAGAACCCTCCATGGGCTTGGGCTCCACCAGGCACAGCTGCTAAAGACAGCCTTCCTTGGGACCAGCAGTTAGCGTAATGGCTATGTCGTTGTACTCCCAAATAGTCGACCGTGGTTCGAGTCCCGGACCCAGTGGCTTAAACTCACGCCGGGCGTGTGTGGGTGTGTGCCCAAAATCCCGAGAGGAGAACGGAGGAGAAGGGATTGTGGCGTGGCCATCCCCCCTGGGGGGTGATTTCTTGCTTTCTGTTTCTCTGTCTGGTGAGCGCACGCGCCCTGTAGCCAAAAAACCTCTCAAAAAAAAAGAGCCTTCCTTAGCAATGGGATGTTGGCCTGCTGTTTCCTAGCAG